ATTGGTTTCCCTTTTCTTTGTTGAAGAGGGTCTGTGCAATCCTTCTGCCTAGTCCGCCATCTTGCCCCGCCTCCCCTGTTTTGTTTTAAGGTATAGTCTAGTTTTCATAGTGAATTACACCTGGTGGGCAGGGTGGGAATGTAAGTAGATCTTCACAGATCTGTTCATAGCCCTACCTGGACTTGCTACAGAGAAGAGAAAAGCAAATAGCTCACTTCTCTGTGGGCATTTTACCTCAAAGTTAGCTAAAGGGTAATACTAAGATATAAACTTTTACATATATTAATTTATATAACTTCCACAAAAGAAACAAAAAAATCTATATGGTAGTTCGTATTCCCACTTTGTAAATAAGGAAATTAAGAATTAGGGATTCATCTTTCCATACATCCAAATAAGGCCCCAATCATTGCTAATCTTCTTACTAGGTTATTATGGAACAGATAATAGCCAAAGAGAAGCAGAAAGTCCAAATAATATTCTACAACAACTGCACAATAGTTTATGTTCAAAATAATAATCCAAAAATATTGAACAATCAATAGTGACATCTGAATGAAAAATTCAATAACAGTCAGTAGTTTTCATTTAAAACCAAAAAAAAGCAAACTCACTGCCATCGAGTCAATTCCAACTCATAGTAACCCCCATTGGGTTTCCAAGGCGATAAATCATTATGGAGGTAGATCGCCCCATCTCCCTTCTGTGGAGTGGCTGGTGGGTTTGAACCACCAGCATTCTGGTTAGCAGTCAAATGCCTTAGACATTACGCTAAGGTCCAGTGTATTTTACTTGAGTCATCTATCTATGGCATAGTGAGTAACTCCCACCTAAAAACAAATTCCTATCTAATTTAGGTCAACGGGAGCTTACTACTTTTCAATTTCTGGTTCTCAGATATAAAGTTATGTTACAGAATCAATTCCCTAATCACAAAACAAGCCCACAGAGGAGTTAAGGCAAGATCATTAGCCTAGTTAAGGCTAGACCAAGTGTTTTACACAGAATATGTCATTAAGACAGTCTGTGTAAAAGAGCACAGTGCCTGGCACCAAAAAATAAAATAAAATAAAAGTTGCTCATCAGATACCATTATGGCAGTTAGTGCTTACGAAAGAAAATATGTAATTAAACTCACAGGTAACCTAACATCAAAATTCTGATCTTACGAAAAACAATTGAACTGTTCAAAACATTCAAATAGGAGGAGATGAAGGTTTTATGAAAGAAAAAGACAAAGAAAGACGCTTATGTTTAGCATTTGGAAAGTCCTGAACTGTCCACATAACACAGGATCCTTTGCCTTCTAAAGTGACAAACTACCCAACTATATATACATTGACTCCACCTCAGTGTTGAGCCTGACCCCTAAATAAGGTCTTCACTTCCTTATATCTTGGAGTATCTTGGAAGATCTCATTCAAAAGAAATTTGGAATTATTTATATTTATTTTACTATTTTTATTAATAGAAGACTATTTTCCCTTCTAGCACTACATCAACATTTCTCTATAAAGAGAGATTTGGAATTCCATAGAATAAGAAACAACATTATTTTAGTGTGCTCAGATAGGTGGATATTAATCTAGAAAAGCTATAGCATCTATACCACAGAATACAAGAGTGGTGTATCTTTCCAAACAAACTTAAAAACATTCACATGGAGGAAACGCTGGACAGACAGGAGTGCATGACTAAGGGAGGGGGGAGAAAAAGGGGTAAGGGGGTGTTACTGGAAAGGGAGAGGAGAGTGGGTTAGGGTTGGGGATGGTAATTAGGGAGGGAAACCAAATGTATACGGAATGTTGAATGTAAAACAAATTCTGCCCTGTAAATCTGCACCTAAACCGAAAAAAAAAACAACCTCACTGCCGTGGAGTCTGGTCTGACTCATAGTGACCCCTCCTTGGGTTTCCGAGGCAGTATCACTACGGAAGTAGATTGTCCAATCTTCCTTCCGAAGAGTGGCTGGTGGGTTTGGACTGCCAGCCTTCTGGTTAGCAGCCAAATGCCTTAGGCGCTAAGCCACCAGGGCTCTCAAAGCACAATAAAAATAAGTAAATAAATAAACGGTGGCTTTGATGTAAACATCTGTTTCCTGGGAGTATAATGAGTTCACCTCAGACCCCAAAGGAATGACTTCCTTCCTTAAGGAAGTCTTTTCCTTTTGCATGTTTCCTTTTAAGGATTTACAAAGCTATTGTATCTTTTGAAAGAGCTGATGAACTGATGAACTGCTCATACTAAAAATCCAAAAATATATAAAAATCTATATGAAGAAAAATATTACCTTTTTCCTTTCTTCTGGAGACACAACAGCAGAAGAATATTATAATCAGAACAATTATCAGGATCAAAAGCAATGAAAATGATACTCCAAGGAGAATTATTGCCCAGGTAGGCAATGATGTGCCTGGTTTATCAATATTGCCTATAAGATTGAGAGGAGAAAAAAATACTTTAGTGATGCTTGCTATTATCTATGATATGCAATCACTGGTTCTGCCACAGTATACATTAGGTTAAAAAATGAAACCCATTGCCATAGAGTCGATTCTGACTCAAGGTGACCCTATAGGACAGTGCAGAACTACCCCATTGAGATTCCAAGGCTGTAAATCTTTACAAAAGTAGACTGCCTCATCTTTCTCCTGCAGAATGGCTGATGGGTTCAAACCACTGACCTTTTGGTTAGAAGCCAAGTGCTTTAATCAGTGTGCCACCAGAGCTTCTTATAAATTATGTTTTCAAATAATACTATACTATCTGGCCTGCAATGGGGAGGTTTCATATACCAACTTCCTTTCAGTTTGTTTAATTATTCAATACTCTATAGTCTCTTCCATTGTAGTACTTATTACTGCCAATAAATAACTACTTAGTAACACAATCATTTTCAAGTATTAGTTGATTGAAATCTATAACATTCTTGAAAAGTAGATAAGCCTGGGCTTTAAGTTTCTGCAATTGAGTTGTGACTAACATGCTCATCCATCTTTTATTCAGTCAAGAAATACTTATTAAGCACCTACTACTTAATAGGGAGGAGCTCTGGTAGGATAGTGCCTAAGGCACTTGACTTCTAATCAGAAGGCTGGCAGTTCAAACCCACCAGTCACTCCTCGGAAGGAAGATGGGGCAATCTACTTCCGTAGTGATACTGCCTCGGAAACCCAAGGAGGGGTCGCTAAGAGTCAGGTCTGACTCTACGGCACATAACAACAACAATAACAACAACTTAATGGGGACCGTGGGGGAGGGAGCTCTGGTAGTGTAGTGCCTAAGGCACTTGACTGTTAACCAGAAGGCTGGCGGTTCAAACCCACCAGCCACTCCTCAGAAGGAAGGTTGGGCAATATACTTCCATAGTGATATTGCCTCAGAAACCCAAGGAGGGGCTGCTATGAGTTCGATGGCCCTTAACAACAACAACAACAACAAACTAGACTGTGGAGGTAGTGGTAGTTCCCCGGTAGAATTCTTGCCTTCCATGCAGAAGACTAGAGTTAAATTCCAAGCCAATACACCTCAAGTACAGCCACCACTCATCTGTCAGTGGAGGCTTGTGTGTTGCTATGGTGCTGAACAGGTTTCAATGGAGCTTCCAAACTAAAACAGCCTAGGAAGGAAGGCCTGGGGATCTACTTATGAAAATCAACCAAAGAAAACCCTATAGAACACAATGGTTTTATCTGCAATCAATCAGGAAGAAGTACAGAATTAGTGTTTTGTTCCATTATGTATGAAATTGTCATGAGTCAGGAACTGATGGATGGCAGCTAAAAACGATAAACTACTGGACAAGACTGGAAGAAAGACATTTGGTTCTCATTCACATGTCCCCAAACCTCAAGATTCTAGTCGTTGTGTGTGCCATCATGTCAATTCCAACTCATAGCGACCCTATAAGACAGTCAAAATGCATCACAGGCTTTCCTGGGCTGAAACCTTTACAGGACGGATTGCCAGGTCTTTTCTCCCACAGAGCCACTGGTGGGTTCAAACTGGACCTTTTATTTAGCAGCTGAGTGCTTAGCCACTGCACCATCAGGGCCTCTTCAAGCCTAGAATGTCAAGAAAATCAGGACAAATGGAAGAAGGACCACTTCTAAAGGCAACTAGTACAAGGTCTTCACTCTAGCCACATCCAAACTCCACCCACAGAATCCATTTCTCTTTTCTGCTTTTTCAATAACTCCTCAGAATCCACCTTCCTTAGTGCCTACATTTTCCTCTTGTTTGATACAGGTATCTTAGAGTTGAAAAAGAGACGGGATACAACAAGCCAGAGCACACAGGAAGTAAAAGGGAGGGGGAAGGAGGGAAAGATAGAAGTAAACCATTTTGTTTTACAGCCATGTCATAGCCAGAGATATCCAATGCTATGTGGCTATCTAAATTCAGATTTGATTAAAATTCAAATTTTAATTTAAATTACATGAAATTAATGATTCAGTGCCCCGGTCACACACCACATTCAATGCTTAGTTGCCTCAAGTATAGGACATTTCCATCATTACAGAATTCTGTTGGAATGGCTCTCCCAGGTGACTGTTGTTGGCTTATGGGAATTGCATTAATGTCCAAATAACAAAAAAAAAGAAAAAAATCATTGCCATCAAGTCAATTCCAACTCATGGCAACCCCATGTGTGTAGAGTAGAACCAACTCCACAGCATTGTCAAGAACGTAAATTTTTGGGAACAGATTGCCAGGTCTCTCTTCCAAAGCACCTCTAGGTGGGTTAGAACTGCCAACCTTTCAATTACTAGTTAAGAATTTAACTGTTAGCACCACCCATTGAGTCTTTGCTATCCCAAACAGAGCCCTCCTCTGGCATTTTACTTCTGCCTATCAAACCAGTTGAAATCACATCACAAACTTTTACATTGATGTGTTTAAATGTGAGTTACTATTAAATAAAAGTCTGCTGCTCAACCCTGAGTGCTTGGATGCTGCCTCAATGTCAATACACTCTATTTTAGTAGATACAAGTCATCAGAAAATGACAACCGACTCCTATGAAGGAAGATAAGGTTTGTCTTTAAATCAACATCCATCCAGCAAAGAAGTTAGAGTTGAAAATCAGCTCATGGATGTTCTTTAGCATTTTCCTTGAAAAATGACCTTTCAATTGTAGTTGACATCAAATTTAAATGCTGAGAATAAGTGGTAGGAATGGTTAGAGATGAGCACTAATGATCTGATGTCTACAATCATCAATCACCTGGATGCTGATTCATGGGCAAGTGAGGGTCCAATTGCAGAATAATCCACTGACTTATTTAAAAGGAAGTGTTAAAATTCTGAGAACTCTGTTCTTTGAAGAATTACATAATATAAAAATAATATTTGTCTTCTGCACTACTTGCAATGATTTTTAGAATTTCCTTCTAAGGCACTAAGGAATACTAAATAATTTTGTCAGTTTCTTTTTTTTTTTTTTTAACATCTCATACTCATTACCATCTTAAGTGTCTGAAATCAACTGCTATTGCTTTCATTTCTTTACATATCTGCTACTGTCTAGTTTTATTCTCCTTAAAGTTAGGCACTGTGTCTTAGTTTTCTTGTACCTCAAGTGCCTGGCATATATTTGACACCTTGGATGGATGGATGAGTGGAAGGATGATGGATGAACAGATAGACAGTTGGATAAATGGATAGATAGAGGGTTGCAAAAGGAGCTCTGGTGGTGTAGTGGTTAAGGCATTTGGCTATTAACCAAAACATTGGTGGTTTCAACCCACCAACTGCTCGATGGAAGAAAGATGAGGCAATGTGTTTCTATAAAGATTTACAGCCTTTGAAACCCAATGGGGGTCACTATGAGTTGGAATCAACTTGATGGCAATGAATTTGGTTTTGTTTTGGTGTTGGAGAGTTAAATGGATGGATAGATGTTTGGATGGATGGATGGATGGATGCGTGAGACAGATGGAGAGGCTGAGTTCCCTTCTGGTTCTACTTGGAGAAGACTATATGCCAGGCAGTGAACTATAACTGAGCCAGACTTAAAACTCACCTTCCTTACCATGTTAAGATGCCTAGAGTAGAATTATAGAAAAATTAAAACTATTCTCCTAATACCACCTGTCTCTAGTTCACCCACCATTTCTTTCTGAGATGCTCTGGGACAGGAAAATTCCCAAACTAAATGTGAAGAAGGAGAGGACAGTATCATACCTTTCCCCTTTCACTTGCCCCCCAGTCCTTGAACTGGAGCTCTCAAACAAGACAATCCCTTCACAATAAGAATAATACAATTTATCCCCTTGTACCACAGAGTAGGTTTATTAACATTGGTGTTCCTGAAATACATGCTGCACATGCAGACACAGGGTTCATGTCCAATGGAATGGCTCCCTCAGGTGACTCTGATGCAGGTGTTGGTGACCCACACTTTGAGAATCCCTCATGTACAGTCAAAACGTAACCCAAGCAATTCTTCACGTTACAGATGCTCCCATACCCTCTACCCCTACAAGTGATAATAAAAGTATTAAGGCCAGAACTGCACTTATAATATTTACCATCCAGCTCTGAAAATCAGCCCATTGTAGAGAATTTTTATGACTGAAAGAGCTGTGGGCTTTGTGTCCACGGAACCAGTCAAATTCTATGGCCACGATTTATTCGCTGCATTACATTTAGCATCCAGCTTGCTCATTGGTAACAATTCTTGGTCCCTCAGGCAGCTCAGAGATTCAAGAGTGTGTGAAATTGCTGAGAACCTCTAAAGTTACCAAACATATGTTAAAGATTACTGTGGTCCTCCTCAATGCAGTGTGATGAACACTTTTACAAACTAACATTTGCAAACGCTGCAAGTTTTCATAATTAGGGAGCCAGCAGGGGTTAAACATTAAGGTCAGCCTCAAGATTTAAGACATAACTTTGAATTCTTACTGGCCTAAGACAACCTACTCACTGACATATTCAGATACTCCCGATTAGTGACCTTTTCTTCTTCTTCAGGAGAAAACAATTAATGTACCAACATCTTGCCAACCAAGTCTTAACAGAACAAATTTTGCTCTGCTACAGAGATAACCCACTTTGTCTTCTAGGAGTGTCTGTTTAAGGGAAGGAAGGTCCACTTTGCAGAGTTGGTACTGAATCAAGGAAGGAAGTGCAAAACACTGTGACCTCACTGCTTCTCTTGTCCCTTACTACAACACCAACTTTAGCAAAGCGATGCTGCACTCACTTAAAATTCCTTGCTTTGACCATAACAGCAACTCATGTCAGGAACCTCATCCCTGTTCTTTCACTTCCTATTTGCTGTGATCACACATCACTAGAAGTCAAATCTTCCACTAAGTTTCACACCTAGGAGAGAGGTAAGCACTCTTCTAATCCAGAAGTATGATATGTGCACCAGGAGAAGGCATGATGTGGTAGCAGAGCTACATGGATGAACCTTTCTTC